TGACAACGTTGGAGTTTTTATTAGCATTACGATTATAAAAAATTAATTTGTGCGACAATGATTATCAGATACTCTTCGAAAAATGATTGGACAATAAAATCTCGATCAGATACTATCTGCTATATAATTCTGTTCATATAAATATGTAACTTTAGCCCTTAAATTTATTCAATGTTTGCTCGCTGTACGTGTCATTTCTCTTCGCAAGCATGTTTATTGGTACCACCAATATTAGGTACAAATGGAAATTTCATGTTCATTCTGAGAACATTTAATTTCATATTTAAAAAGAAAAATTTTAGATAATTACTCATTCATTTAAAAAAACATTCAGAGCGCACATTTCATACTACTTTACCAGTATTAAAACGTCGTCCTCAGGAAATAAAGAAAAAAAACATTGCGAAAAAAAAATCTAAATCAGAAGCCGAGAAGGCATCGATGCCTGATCCGATTGTCGGAGTTCCCACAGAATTCACAAAATCTTTACTTCGACCTTTAGACGTCTATAAAGCGGCTGCTGATCCAAATGCACCTAAGTATATGAATTATTTTCTTGATAAAAAAGATGAAGATTTGTTATTTGAAAAAACACCAAAGAAAGTTGCCGAAGAAGCTGAAAAATCACATAAAATTGAAAGGGAAAAAAACTCGATAGGATTGGTTGAAGAAAAAAAGAAGGCGGAAATATTGAAATCATTAGTTAGTTTGCATAATTCGAATGCGAAAGGCATTATGATGTATAATGTTAAAAAAACAGTTGAGGAATTTGGTAGGAACGAGAATGACACTGGAAGCGCAGAAGTCCAAGGTAAGAATTATTTAATCCTGCCTTTTTATGAAAACCGAGAATTTTAAATTTTAAAGAAGATATTAAACTCTATTATTACATTATTATTAGCTGCGATATTGACAGTGCGTATCCTAAACCTTCATGAACATCTCAAAAATAACCACAAAGATAAACACAATAATCGGGGTTTACGACAGTTGGTACATAAACGTCAAAAACTTTTAAAGTATTTAAAAAGAGAGAGTTTAGAAAGATATTTTACAACTATCAAAAAACTTGGATTGGATGAAAGAGTAATTGAGGGTGAAATCGTGATTTAACTCTAAATCATTATTTTTGTTGAGTTCTGTCAAATTTATTCAATATTGAAACGTTCTATTCAGGTATCAATATAATAATTATATTATATTACCTATACTATTAACTACATAATCTTGTATTATAAATAAAAAACTAAATCATAACTTACAGAACCCAAACTTTACATCAAATTCTACCAAGCCTTATCCTTTCTTTGGCTTCTTTTCTTCAGTGAGTTCAATATTATCCTCTGGCACCTATATTAGATAAATCGTTTTTTTTTTAAAAAAAAAAAGGAATAAAACATTCATTTATTTTATTATTACTTCAACATTAAATGCAATTTGTTAATACATACATCTTTCCATGTCTCTAATATAAAATCAAATAAATCATCTGAAACATCTCCTTGCACTACGATTTCATCATTTCCTTGATTATTCTTAACAACTGATGAACCACAAGCGAACTTTGTTGCAAATGATTTAGCAGCTTTTTTCAAATCAATATCTAAATAAGCAAATAAATGAAGTTGTGAAAATGAATCAAGAAATAACAAATACCAAAGTATATTTTCAATTTACCAAAATTTTCTAAACCATACACATTTGTGACACATTTTCGTTTGTTTCGTGCAATACGTGTAATAATTACTTTAGATGCCTGATAATAAAAGACAGCATAGATTAGGCATTATTTTTAAAGAGGATATATTACCGATCTAAATATAATTAAATCAAAGTCTAAAACATCTTACCATCTTTTTCTGCAATTCTCTTTCTATTTTTGC